GATAACAAACCAACCTTTCAGATAGCTCCTTGCCCAAAAAATAAAACCCAAAGCAATCTCAATACAGCTCCTATTGTTGTTCTCTCTCCCTCCCTCTCTCTCTCTCTCGCTCCTCCCTCGCTCCCCCCCCTCCCCCCCCCCCCCCACTCTCTCACACACAGACACAAAATTCAGTTGGTGAATTAGGGCATCAGGCTGGAAACTAGAAGACCATGACGTCTAGTCCCTATGCTAGTCATAATACCAAATGAGTGACTTTGGACCAGTCATATCATGGGAATTAAGTTCTATGCTTGCACAATTAAATGTGCAAGCACAGAACTCATTAAAGAACTAGCATGGCTTTTCTGACTGGCCTTTGGAGACTGGCATCTATATTTGACTTCCCATCTAATCAATTGTGGGCAATTATTTACTTTAATTATTTGTTTGCTTTTTTAAAAAAACTTACTGTTTTGATTTGATTTGTAAAGCATCTTGAGATGTGCAATTGTGGTGGTATAAAAAGTTGAACAACTTATTGATTCAATAAGCTATGGTTTACTGATGTGAAATTATGGTTCAGAATTCTCTATTTTGTAATTTCCAGATCATCCCTCAATTATGCGCGCAACATTCAGCAGCAAACTTTTTTCACAGGAGATGGTTGTAACTTTGACAACCTGTTTCTTCTATCTTCCCATTCCCCTGAAACTGGATTCAGGTTATCTATGAAAATTCATACCATTGTAACCTACGGAGCACTATCAGTACTCCAGATTGATAAGTGTATGTGGCCTTTTCAGCTACCTGGATTTCCTTCCTGAATCGAACTGATTATTTGCATTGACTTCATTTATGTGATAACCTTGTGATTTGGTCAGCATTTAAGTCTACTTTCCTTCCACCTTAGCAGTTCAAGGGCTTTATTTTTCATGCTATTATCTATTCCTTTTGTAACCCCTTTCCTGCTGTGTTTGGGTACTTAAAGTATTAAGTGGAGAGGAATGAATTTCAAACAGCAGACTGAAACCAAGGCCAAAGCTTTATCTCTCTATGGACAAAATTTTGAGCAGGGAAAAAGACAACACAAACTAAGCTTTTTTTATTTTATTTTTTTGCAAAACAATTGATGAAAGAAATGTCCTTCTGGGTTCAGCTCCAAGTGGGGAAAAAGACACTGGAGACATGGAGGCTGCTTGGAAAGATGGTTTATTGCTGGACAGGGCCACATGGCTTGAGCCCTGAACAGAAAAGGTGATCACATGCTTCAATGTTGGTGGAGAAGAAGAGAAGGGCCGAGGGAGGGGCTTGCTAGGCTTTTTATTACCTGTTCAGTCCCACCTCTCTGTTTCCTGTTCCTGTGTAAGAAATGTATTCTGATTGTTTGTCAGACTCCCATGAGGCCATGCAGGGGCTACTCTCTAGGCTGTGTTTTGAATCCAGGTATGGATGAGTTCTCAGATGCCATGTGGTCAGTTGAGTAAAGTTCCAACATTCCTTCCCCCTGCAGCTGCAGTGGAGAAGTCTTTATTATGTAAAGGGGACTAGTCTGGCCTTCTCAATGGCCCATTAACAGTGGGGATGGGCAGGAAGCTACAGGCAACTATTCTGTCTTTTAAAATATGTTCCTTTCTTTTCACATCCAGAGAAATATTCTGCCTTTTCAATATTTCCTAGGATATTTCATTTTTCTGGGAGAGGGCTGGATGATAACTTCCCACACAATCATGCCAGTGGTAGCATAAAAAAAGTAAGGAGACTTTGGGAAGTTTGGTAGAGAAACTCAAGACTCAACTCAGGTACCCATGCCTGATGGGTACCACAATAAGGAATGAACTTGTCCAACTAGGCGCCTGCCAGATTAGTTGGATTGGAGTCTACACTGTTGTCAAGGTGGAATTTCTTAACTGGTATCAACAGGTAGTCCTTGACTTATGAACACAATTATGCCAAATATGCTATGTGAGACATCTGTTAAGTGAATTTTGCCCCATTTTATGATCTTTCTTGCCACCATTGTTAAGTGAATCACTGTAGTTGTTAAGTTACTAGCATAGTCGTTAAGTGAATCTGGCTTCCTCCTTGACTTTGCTTGTCAGAGGGTTGCAAAAGGGGATCCCATAATCCTGGGACATTGCAACCATCACAAATATAAATCCATTGCCAAGTTCCACATTTTGATCATGTCACGACATGATGATGCTACAACAGTCAATATGTGTGAAAAATGGTCACTTCTTTCAGTGCTGTTGTAACTTTGAAGAGTCACTAAACAAACTATTGTTAAGTCAAGAACCATTTATATAAATACTGTGGGGTAGAAAACAGGAGTTTAAAATAGCAGTTGATGTATAAGTGTCACTACAAAGCACAATAAGGAGCTGCATGGATCCTGCTCCCAGCTCCTTGCGGTCCCCAAAACCCCTGAGTTTGTCCCACTTTTCTTGGAGGCATGGCTTTCTGCTATTTTGCTATATAAATGCAAATACCCTAAGTATTACATCCAAATGTATTTGTTACGACGTTTCTCTTCATAGGAAGCTAAGTTATTATTAAAAGGCAGAAAAAGGTAAAAATACTAAGTCAGAAAAACTAAAGATAAGGAGATAAGGAAATATGGGGAATGAAATACAACTAAATCTTGTTTACATTGAGAGCATTCACTGTGCCTCTCCATATGGTTCTATATTTGCAAACCATCCTTCTGCCACATCTGTTTATAAAATATATATTAGACAGAAGAATCTTAAAACTGCTAAAGGCTTGCACATTTGATCAAGGGCAATTTTTATGTGATTTTAAACATTTATTACATCAGCAGTACTCATCTGAAGACGCTTCTAGCTATTTTAAAGAAGGATCTTCAACAATCCATGGAGCTTTGTTAAATCTCCATCCTGCAAAAGCAAAGTCTCTTCAACAGAGAATTGGATAATGTGGGGCCCTCTAGTTGAAAATGGAGAATTGTCTTCACCTTCTCCCCCCCCCTTTGTGCCATTCTTCTTCTTAAAAGATGCTTTCTTTCTTTTTTTGTAGTTTCTTAAATGAAACTACTTTGCAGTTGAATGCAAACAGTCTTTTGTTAAAATTGATCCAAATTATCCTGTTTATTTCTCTTCAGTCTGTCTTTTTTTCCTTTTATTGTGAATCAAAAAATGAAGTTTGTAAAATAATGTAGATTATGCACACACACACATTTCATTTTCATTCCAGCTTTCTTTAACATTCTGCAGCTGATTGCCAGGAGACACTTATCATTTGTTCCTTCTCTGAACTAATCCCTTGAATTCTCTTTGTCATGTATAGAATATTCCACTTCTGGAAAAAGGTTGTAGTAACCTGCGCAAGCAAATCGAAAATGCCAGAATTTTTGGTGTTCCAGTAGTGGTGGCAGTCAATGCATTCAAGTAAGTACAACATGGTCCATAGTACAACAAAATTCACAGTTCGGGGTGGATGCCATCTACCTATGTTCTTTAAAATGTACTCAACAAGAAAGGGCTCAAGACATAAATTATTGGATAAGGCTAGAACATTAAATTTGATTTAATTGAAGTTTGACTTAAATGTAAATCACAACAAATACATTTGACATGATTATTCTTCATATATTCAGTAATTTTCTCATTTGTTCACATTAAAAGTACACTTCACTGGCAGCTTTTAGAAATGCTCTCGGTACTTCAACAATGCAGGAAAACGGGGTAGTAAAATCTAAGGCAGAAGAGATGGACTGTTATCACTCTACATTGAACTACCAGAAGTTTCCTGCACGTCCTCATTTTTCAAAATCAATGCAGATAAAATATTAACATATGTTAGTTTTGGGCAAACACTACAATCTTTTCTAAGGTCTATTGAGCGAGGAAGCCTCATTAACGAAGTGTTCCCCTCAGATCAGATTTTCAGAAACCTGGTTCACACATACAGGTAGCTGAGTGGGTGGTGATTTGAAATGTGGTAAATATTCGCATGTCAGATTGCTTGTAGGGGTAAATAGAATATATCTTCTACCTCCCTCCCAAGCCATCTGTTGGTCTTTCTTGCATGTGTTTTTGTGTTATTTGTATACAAATGTAATATTCACATTTTTATAGTTCAGGGTTTTTACTATAGTTGTGAGCTACCCAGAGTTGTGGGCGACCATGCATTTTTTTTAATAAAGTAAATAAAATGTACAGATTTGGGTAACAAGAGATTTGCTGCAAGAAGACTATTCTCTTTATGTTGCATCTCCATTTCATCCTTGAAAAAAATCTAAGTGCCCTGGCTTATCAGGCAAGGTTTTTTCATGCTTGCCAGATGATTTGAGGGAGGTGATCTCAGAATGTCATGAAGATGAAATGTTTAATGATTTGCAGCAAACATTAACAGAATAAAAATTAAGCCTTCCCCAGCTTCTCTTACTTCAATTAAGGAATACTTCATGTTATTCATCTTCTGCTCAGTGTAGCTGAATTGCTTCTATGGTTTTTACTCCAAAAATCCTGTCCTTCTAGATTCAATTCCTCAAGCCCAACATACCCAACACACTTTTGCACCTCCTTATGGTGGTGACCCCTTTGTGTAGAGAAGGCAGAAGCAGGCAAACAATTGCATGTGTTGTTCTGTAATAAAAGAGAAGGACAAATCTGGAATATCAATCTCAACTAAAGAAGCTTAAGCAGCCCTTTTCTCCTACAGGAAATAGTTCCTTTGTTTCCCACCTGGCATCCCTGTTTGAGGGAATGGCTCAGTTCTCCATCCCACCTTGAAGGGTTTAGGGAGTTTTACAGGGCTGAAAAGTACAGCAGGACTCCCAGCCATATTTTGCTTTCTTTCTACCCTGCCCATATAGCTTTTACTCAGTCTGAACATATTCACTCCCTAATGTTGAATACTTAATTCTCAAGGAAGTTGGTGTTTTTCTTTCACTATGATCTTCACCAAGATTAAACATTTGGCATAATTGTTTTTCCCTTTGTCAAATTCATCTCTTTCATTTTGAATGTTTGTTTGTTTAATTAATATAACCACCTGCTTGGTTGGTAGTTCAATGCTAGTAGCAAGGGTTAAAAATACCCAGTACAAAGAAGATGGGATGGGATGGGATAGGATAGGATAGAATAGAATAGAATAGAATAGAATAGCATTATTGTCCAACTGTGATTGGAAACACAAGGAATTTGTCTCTGGTGCACAACTTCTCAGTGTATATACAAATAACAAGTGATATATCATAGATAATGAATAAAAGTATTCATAAATATAATAAACTTCAATAAAATAAAATATGTTAATTTAAACCAAATGAATTAGCTAAACCAAATCTGGAAACTATAACAAAAAGACTACAACTACAGTTTATCAAGATGAGGCTCCAATAACCAAATTTTGCAAGTTTATCTGTAGCTTCTTCCCCCCACCTCCTTTTACTAAGTCTGAGTCTCTTTCTTGTGCTGTCCTTTCCTGCTTAACACATGCTACTTCCGGATCTGTTATTTTTCTTAATGGCTTCTGCAACATTATCTCCATGGCTCTCTAGAGAAGTGCACAATTCCTGTATAGCCACCTCGGCTATCTTTTTGGCTCCATGCCTAAAGAAGAACCAGCATCTTTTTAAAGGACAACAGTGGCAGACCAACTGAATGTTAATGATGAATCAGCTATGGTTAGCTTTAACCATAATTATCACAATCTCAAAACTAACCGTGGCTGGCAGTAATTTTAGTCCTTGGATTCTACTGAAGTTCAGTAATACTGAAACTGGAAAGATGCTTTGTACAGCACAGGAGGCAGGTCATTTCCAGTATATAATTGTAACATTTGAAAGGTTAAGTATTGGTATATTGGCATTCTAATAGAAAGCCTGGTAATCTTTCCCTTTGCAGATCAGATACAGAGGCAGAACTACAGCTGGTCATCCGGATGGCTAAGGAAGCTGGTGCTTTGGATGCTGTCAAATGCACCCACTGGGCTGATGGGGGTAAAGGAGCTGTGGCATTAGCAGAAGCCGTGCAGAGGGCATCACAGGCCCCAAGCCATTTCCAGTTCTTGTACAATGTGGAGGTAAGGCTTTGTTTTGAATCTTATATATATTTTAGGAGAAATGAAATGCTAAGGAAGGAAATGCGAAACTAATAGATGGAAATTATGGCTTGTTTTCTAACTTTGTATAAAAAGGAATGGGTTCCCTATGAGATGGATTGGCTGGCTGATTGTATTAATGCATAGATGCTAATGCGATTCAGCATTTGAAAGGAAGACAATTTCTTTTACAAATGATTTACAATATGGAGAAAAATGACAATACAGTAATAGAAGAAGATGATTTCTTTTTTTTCTTCCCTGCCTTGGGGCTGGATGTCATTTTAAATGTATCAATCCAAGTAATTAGAGCAGTTGGCAGAAATCAGTGTTTTTGCCTTAAGATTATTCCTGTTCTACAGTATCCATCACTGAAAGATTTGTCCCTTCAGCTGGAGTCAACTTTAGCTCCAAAATCATAATGAAGGGGTAAGGAAAATGTGATAATCCTATTAAAAATAAGATTGTGAATAGCAAAGGAAATTTGAGGCTCACAGCTTAAAAACTGTGAAATATGTTAATAGAGGCTGAAAAAATTTAGCTGGGTAAAAATCTGGGATGAAGACAACTCCCTGGGGAAAAATCCTTTTACTTATCTAGGTTCTACAGTGCCCTGTTTTATTTACTGGGCTCCTCTGGAAGGAAATGCAGTATTTAAATTAATAATTTCAGAAAGTAAAGAATATTGAGCAGAGTATTGGGATTACGACAACAGGACCAGATCTATGGGATTATCACAGCTGGTTACAGAAATATTTGTCTTGGCTTCCATGGGGATAATAGCTGAACCAGATTTATAAATGCAGACAAGTATCCTGGCTCTCTTCAACTAAATCTAATTCAGGTTTCATGGTCTTTGACTCAGCAGCACAATCAAATTATTTTCCAACCTCGTCTGCAGCTGTTCCCAGTGGCCAGAACTTGATTTTTATGTTCAAGAGGAAAATAATATAGTTTTAAAACTTAGTGTCTTGATGATTGATGAGTTGAAAGAATACTTAAACTCACTTGAAATCAAGCTGTTTTAGCTGTCATTAAGTTTCCGTCCACATGTTTTTCTTTTTTACCAGCCCTGAATTTTAGTGTCCTGCACAAATTTGAAACTTCCTTGTCATTCCTGTCAGGTTTCTTGATATTTCCTCTTCTTTTATGGAGGGTTTTGAGAGACTTATTCAATGGAAAAGCATAGAGAAAGAGTTATAATTTTAAAATGCTTTGTCTAATTGTGACTTATAATTGTATGAAGCTACATTTTACATGTATTCATGTGTATGTCACACTGTGCATTTTATTATTCCCCACTCTCTGGGGAAAAAGGCAATCTCAATAAGTATGAAGAATTGCCATCACTTAGTAGTAGTAGAGAAACAGACCCCAAAGGCCCTGGGGATGAGAGATCTTTCCTCCCAGAATCTATGGGTATCTCCCTTTTGTGCTAAGCTGTGGTTGGTTTAACTACAGATTGTTGAATAAAGTACACTAAGTCATAACCAGCACACCATGTTACAGCTTTGACTCTTGCTCAGTCAGGAAAGAGAAAGCAATAGCAATAGCAGTTAGACTTATATACTGCTTCATAGGGCTTTCAGCCCTCTCTAAGCGGTTTACAGAGTCAGCATATTGCCCCCAACAAAAATCCGGGTCCTCATTTTACCCACCTCGGAAGGATGGAAGGCTGAGTCAACCCTGAGCCGGTGAGATTTGAACAGCCGAACTGCAGAACTGCAGTCAGTTGTAGTAGCCTGCAGTGCTGCATTTAACCACTGCGCCACCTCGGCTCTATGTGTCATGCTTTCATGGGTTTGTGTGGTAATTGTCACCCTACAATTGTATCCAATTGGGCTACTCATGGTTGATTATCAGCAGTGGTGGAATACGTACCGGGGCGTACCGGTGCCTGCTGGGAGCACTAGGTACTGTTCCAGTATGGTGCTCCTGAGGCCCACCCGCCTGCCTGTGCTCCTTACCTGTATTTGAGCTGTTCGGGGCTTCCGCGCATGGTGCTGGAGTGTCAAGGGCAGTAATTACGCATGCGTGGAGGCACCTATGTGATGCTCCGCTGCGTAGCTGGAGTGTCAAGGGCAGAAATTATGCATGCGCGCACATGTGCACATGTGCTGCATACGTTCATGTGGTGGACGCCCAGCCCCCTTGCACCATACCAGTTGCAATGGGATCCAGAACCCACCACTGGTTATCAGGTATCAATCTAGTCCCCAATACAGCAATGATACCCTTATCTGCTAAAGTAGCAATACTTCCTCCATGCAAAATATATGGATGCTGAGTCTGATAACAGAGAATATTTGTAGTTCAGAGGTGGACTGTGGGGTCCTTAGTATTCTTTGAGCTTAGTTGTTTTCTTTTCTTTCATTATCCAATTAGGTAATAGCAATAGCAATAGCAGTAGACTTATATACCGCTTCATAGGCCTTTCAGGCCTCTCTAAGCGGTTTACAGAGAGTCAGCATATTGCCCCCAACAATCTGGGTCCTCATTTTACCCACCTCGGAAGGATGGAAGGCTGAGTCAACCCTGAGCCGGTGAGATTTGAACCGCTGACCTGCTGATCTAGCAGTAGCCTGCAGTGCTGCATTTAACCACTGCGCCACCTTGGCTCTTAATATTTCTCTATTAATAGTAATAATATTGATAATACTGATTTGTAATATTTCCAGTGCTAGAAGGGAGTGAGGTTTCCTCTTTTTGTATATATTAGTGGCTTTTCTTGTTGGTATAGGTGGGAATGTTCTTCATGGTTTCTTGATTAGGCTGTTGTTTAGGGTTAGCTTGTTTGTCTGAGTTGGCATCCTTTGATTGGGATATTGTTCACTTCTTGAGTGTTGGTCTAATATTAATCTTGATGTTAATATCTGTTTATCAGGCTATTTATTGCTGGCAAGGAGGTGGTTGGGGTTTTATTACTGTTTTGGCTTTTTTAATTATTTCTTTTGAATGGTATGTAGATGTTTATCTCTATGTGCCTGTTGATGGCTGATTTGTCTGAGTGCCAAGCTTCCAGGAAGGGTCAATTTCATGTGGCAGTGAAAAAACCGAAGCAAACTGGGGGACTCCGTTATGTGTGCTTCAAACATGTCACTCCTCCTACAACTTATGCCCATACAGATAGTCCTCACGTACAACTACAAGTGAGCCCAAAATTTATGTTGTTGAGAAATTTGTTAAGTGAGTTTTGCCCAGTGGTGAAATTCAATTGTTTTTACTACGGGTTCTGTGGGCGTGGCAGGGGAAGGATACTGCAAAATCTCCATTTCCTCCTCACTCTGGGACCCGTCAGAGGAGGTATTTGCCAGTTCTCTGAACTACTCAAATTTTCTGCTACTGGTTCTCCAGAACCTGTGAGAACCTGCTGAATTTCACCCCTGGTTTTGCCCCATTTTACAACTTTTCTTGCCACATTTGTTAAGTGATTCATTGCATTTGTTAAGTTAGTAACATGGTTGTTACGTGAAACTGGTTTTCCCATTGACTTTGCTTGTCAGAAGGTCAAAAAAGGCAATCGCATGACCCTGGGTCACTGCAACCCTCATAAATGTGAGTCAGTTGTCCAGCAGCCAAATGTAAATCACATGCCCATGGGGATGCTGAAGTGGTCATAAGTTGAAAAATGGTCATAAGTCACTTTTTTCAATGCTGTTAAAAGTTTGAACAGTCACTAAGTGAACTGCTGTGAGTCGAGGACCATCTGTATAATTCACATATCATGCTAAATCATAGTTGGTGGTGATTGAGTGTGATGCCTGAACCAAGCCATAGCTACTTATTCCCAGTAAGCCATAATGTTGCTTGGTTTTGGTTGAGCATGATATTTCAGCCTAGTGACTGTCCATGTCAATAGCTATGCGGGGGGGAGGTAGTTTCTAATAACTCTGAGAATGGCCATATAAAATCCATATTATTTGTATATGTAGAATACATTCTGCTATAAGGAAGCTTTTGTGTGGTGGCATCAGATCTCTCTTGTAATCCATATTACATTCTCTCTGAAGAAATGCCTAGAAATAGCGATTTCCTTTCTGTGAAACTGGACTGGTATACTCTGCTCCAAGCTAATTGATTTTCCCAAGCCCCTGATTGTGTTGAGATTTTCATATCAATTTAGGAATTTGGGGAACTGCAAATCCAAACATATCCGGGTAGTAGCAGATTGGAGAATTCTGGCCAAGATTGTCTGCTTCCAAACTTCCTATTTTCCTGTTGCAATTATATTGAAGTACATTTTCTGATGAAAAAAATATGGTTGGTGAAACTGCAGTGATTTTCTATAGTCCAAAGGGTTGCTGTGTCTTAATTCAGTATGTTGTGAGAATGGAAGAAACTCTCCCTGACATGTTTTCTCCTTTTTCATGTCCATAGCTGCCAGTTGTAGAGAAGATCAGAATTATTGCACAGAAGATCTATGGAGCAAATGACATTGAACTGCTGCCAGAAGCCCAGTTTAAAATCATTCAATATACCAAACAGGTACACCTACAGGCATCCTATGCCTGGGCTAAATTTAATGCACCTTGTGATTTTTATCTGGATATGCAGGCAGAATTGGGCATAACTACATTTTTTAAGAAGTAAAACTAGCGCAAAAGCCTTTAGAAAACTTTCCTTTTTGAAGAAAAGACTTCTTTCAGCATTTTGACCTGGCTTTAATACAGCACTTCCATGAGATGATAGTCAACATTTCTTGTTACAAAAGTGTAGGAGAGATTTAACAGAGAGATTAACAGTGTTGGGTGGACCTTGTAGGTCATCTAGTCCAACCCCCTGTCTAAGCAGGAGACCCTACAGCATTTCTGACAGATGACAGTCCAGATTCTCTTGATTAATTATGTATTACATATGTCACACAAACAATTTTATATGAATTCATACGGAAGCATTCTTTCTACAGTATGTGCTCTACAAGAATTGTTCTTCTTAATTTCCTGTGGATCCATTTAAAATGCATTTTGCACTTTTCAAATTTGGCAGTGTCAATGGATCTTTAGTTTACTGGATATCCCAAAGTGTGTGAAGGGCCTCATTTCTTGCTTAAAATGACATCTGTGGTGGCATTTTTTCCTGGCTGCCATATATATATTTGATGCTGGACTGATCTATCTAGAAAATGCTTTATATATTCAGTACCAGGAGCACCCCTATTAATGTTAAAACTAAAGATCCTGTGATTGATAGAGATAATCTAACAGATGAATCAATTTGTGATGCAAAGGATCTGCTTAAACCAAGAAAGGCTAGAACCAAATGAATGTGACTTTGTATAATTTGGTAACTTTTTTCTGGCACGCTCTTCAAGTGATGTCCTTTCTTTTGCAATCATTGTCTCTTTTCTGTTTGTCATCTAGGGATTTGGAAACCTGCCCATCTGCATGGCTAAAACCCATTTGTCATTGTCTCATGACCCAGAGCTGAAAGGAGTGCCCACCGGATTCATCTTACCCATAAGAGATATCCGAGCCAGCGTGGGTGCAGGATTCCTTTATCCCTTAGTAGGAACAGTAAGTGTCACAGTTTGGAAGTCTTGAATTAATATAAATTTGATTCAATTGGGTTAGTACTGGATTATTTGGCTTCAAGCACGCTCTATTTTTTAAAAATACTGCATTAAATTATATACAATTACTCATATATATCAATTATAAATTAATATTTCAGGTCCAGTAGGCAGTTTGGTACATGTAGGAACCATGTTGGCCACCTCTGAAATAAATGGCATTCATTTGCTGACTTTTTATTCATTGATTTGTTCTTGGAGTGTGTTCCTTATGATTAAGGAACTCTTTCTTTCCTTCAGCGTGTTTTGTATGATTTTTTAAAATAGATTTCTACTAAGCACAGTTCTTCTATAGCATTTCTGAATCTAGATTAGCTTCTCATGTGTTATGGGGAATATCACTGGCTTAGGGTCAAGAAAAGACGGAAGGAAAGACCAGAAAAAGAAACACATTTTCTTTCCAAGTTACATTTTTCAGCCCCCAAAATGTTCTTTGGTATAAATAGAAAAGCACATATTGTAGCAATGTTCAGAGAAGTAAAACATTTTGTCTTGTGTAGGCATCTTCAATTTGAATGACTTGAGTTTTAATTAAAACTTGAGTCTTCTATACAATTCATTCCATAGTACTAGCTGATTTTTAGTCTTCTCTATGAAACCAAATGATAATAAACAAGGCTGAGAATTTAAGAAGCAGATTACTTAACAAAATCATGCTGCTTATGCTAATAAGATAAGCCGGAGCATAGTAGTAGGAAGTCTCATTTGCAGTTAAAGCAGAAGTGAGTACCTTACAGGCTATATGTAGTCCTCAGATACATTTTGGTATCTCTCTGTATATGGCCTTGAGAGTTTACTGGAATTTATTTATTTATTTATTTGGTGCCTCTTGTGAGTGTTGACTCCTGAACAAGCCCATGCAGTTTTCTTAGCAAGATTTTTTGGAAGGAGTTTGCCATTGCCTGTTTCCTAGGGCTGAGAAAGTGTGACTTGCCCAATGTCACTCAGTGGCTAGGGTAAGACTAGAACTCACAATCTGTCAGTTTCTAGCCTGCTACCTTAACTACTACACCAGACTGACTGTATCTCCTGCTAATATTCAGAGGAGTTTTTTGGGTGAAAAGAATATGTGCACTGGAACAAAGAAAAACTGCTCCCCTCCCATCTGGCCCATGGGGTGCTTAAGTCTGGAAGTAGCAAAGGACTGGCCCGTGGTGCCTCTGGCAGCCAAAATGGGCCGTGAGAGGGCCGTGTGTGGTTCCCCCACTCCCTATTTTGGCCAGCAAAGTGCTACAGGAGAGCTGTTGTCCTGTCTCCCCCTTCCCCGGCCCATGGAGGAGAACTACAGTGCTGGTCCAGCTCTCAAAGAAATCCAGTTTGACACCACAGCTATCGAACGTTGTTGATTCCACTTTGGAAGTCTATGGGGGCAGTTAAAGAAAAATGCTAGTGCAGCCAAAAGATATGGAATGAGATTGTAATCTTGCCAAGATCCATAAAGCACAGGTAGTTCTCAACTTAGTCCACAATTGGGACCAGAATTTCCATTGCTAAGCAAGGCAGTTTTTTAGTGAGTCATGCCTGTTTTTATTACCGTTTTTGCCACAGTTGTTAAAATGAATCGCTTAATAGTTGCGGAGTAAATCATGTGGTCGTTAAGCAAACCCAGCTTCCCCCATTGGCTTTGCTTATCAGAAGCTGACTGGAAAGGTTGCAAATGATGATCACATGATACCAAGACACTGCAACCATTGGTTGGTGCAAGCCTGGATTTTGAACATCTGACTATAGGGATGTCATGGCCAATTGTAAGTCACTTTTTCAGTGCCGTTGTACCTGAACAGTCACTAAATGAATGCTTTTAAGTCGAGGACCACCTATACAAAGATCTGATGGCTCCTAAAACCGTACTTACAAAACTGCTGCCTCATGTAAGAGTCACTAAAATGTCTTTCTTGTACCCAATGGAGAGATTGAAATAAGCATCCCACCTTGGGTTTAAAATTTAAAACTGGACAGGTTTCTAGAAAAAGTAATATAGGGTTAATAGTTACTGGATTTCCTTTCTAGTTTAACTTTTAAGAGAAAGGGGAAAGAGCAGGGCATACAGTAGAAGGTCTCATGTTGCAAGGAAAAGATTTATGTAGGAAAACACCGTAGTGCTCCTTCTCTAAGAATTGGTCAGACCATTAACATGTTTATATTCTATTCATATGTCCCATATTCAGTGGGTACAAACCATTGTAGCCTTAGCCAATACAGGAATGATAATTTCAAGTTTAATGAAATGTTTGAGATAGAACAAATGTATTTTGAAAGTAAATGGTTTTTTTTTTCTTGTTGAAAGGATTAAATTAGTCCTTCTAGGTATAGTCTATAAATCCAATAAAAAGGGGGTTATGTGGAGGATTTGTTCCTGCTGCTTCTTTTTATACCTGTTTATTTTACATAAAAAAATTGTTAGGTCATTTGTCTGCCTAGTCTGTGAGCGTTTTATAGCAACTTCTCACAGATTTATAGCTCTAAGTGATACAGGCTGCTGCTGAGGTCTGCAACGGTGATCATCCTAACCTTCTATTAACTATCACATTGGCTGCCTGCAAAAGTACCATTCAGAATTCAAGTGTCAAAATCCTGGCTTTTGTGGTCCAGTAAATGGAATTCTGGAAATGATAGGTCTGGAAAGAAAAAACTCAGGGTAGGAATACCTCATTCCTAGATTGCATTTACCATGAGAGCTTCACCAAAAGCCAAAATTACTAAACATAGATTATTTAAAATGAATTTTTATGCTGTGGTAAGAACAAGTAGGATAGGTTTTTAAGGCGAAATGAGCAGGAGTAATAGAACTAATCAATTCAGATTTCTCACTTGAAGAACAAATAACCAAGCTCAAATTATCATATTTGCCATGATTTAGCTCTCTGGAAAAGGCTCTAACACTAGGAAAAGTGGAAAGAAAAAGGACAACTAGCTGCGACTTTTCAGAACAAACCCAATAGTAGTTTGACTGATGTACTCAGCCTTCCCTGGAAAGTATCTCACTAATCGGTGGATGGTGCTAATAAAACTTACACCTTGGGGGGGGGGTGTGTGTGCACCAAAGCAAATTATGATGTAATGATGAAATAACTACATAGACATAGATGTGCGTTGTGTGTGGATAACATTTTCCAGATGCAGTGAATTCCAGATCAAAGAAGTTGAATTTTTCTGCTGGGCTTCCTTTTCAGAATAAAACAAGGGTTCCAGGGAGCTCAAGATACAAGCCAGGAAGGAAGTGTTTAGATTCTTGGCCCCATGACCAAGTAATTTTGGAATATGTATTTCAGACCAGTTGTTTCTTCATTCCAGATGAGCACAATGCCAGGACTTCCTACCAGGCCTTGTTTCTATGACATTGATCTGGATCCTGTGACTGGACAAGTAAATGGACTATTCTAAGACAAATCAACAACCAAAAGTAAGTATTTGAGAACATCAGTAGATGTTGCTTTACTCTGTGAACCAAGAATTTGCAGACTTTTGAGAGGATTTGGGCTAATAAGTACTTTCACAAAACATCTGCCATGGCTCATCATCAGACAGTCATTTATTAAAAAGCAATCAGTGATCTGTACCACCTTCTCTTTTGGGACAAGTGCAGACAGATGGATGCACAAGCAAAACACAAAGCTGAAGCCACCCCCTCATTTTGTTTCCAAGGATGGTAGTGAGCTTAATGTGGGATCCAGAGGCATTGCTGGACACTACTGTTAAGTTTGAAGTCAATGCTTCGTACCAGGTTCCTTGAGTTTCTCTTCACTAGACTTGCTTTCTAGTCTATAGCAATAACAATAGCAATAGTTAGACTTATATACCGCTTCATAGGGCTTTCAGCCCTCTCTAAGGGGTTTGCAGAGTCAGCATATTGCCCCCAACAATACGGGTCCTCATTTTACCCACCTCGGAAGGATGGAAGGCTGAGTCAACCCTGAGCCGGTGAGATTTGAACAGCCGAACTGCCGAACTAGCAATCAGCTGAAGTAGCCTGCAGTACTGCACTCTAACCACTGCGCCACCTCAGCTCATAGTCTGATTATCATTCTTGTTCCCCTCCAGTTTCAGTTTTTTTTCTTAATCCTTCTTAAGGCGTAGAGCCCAGAACTGTACGGAGTGCTCGAGGTGAGATGTGCAGAATTAAGCATTCTATAAATTTCATCCTCTTTATATAATTTTATTTTTGTTTTCTAAGATAAATCTTTTATTCAAGTCATTACTACTGAAAAGAAGAGGCCTCAAGGACTGATTTTTTTTTCTTGGCATCCAACTCTGTCTCCAATCTGATGAGGGAAAACTGGCTGAGTATGAGTTATATTGAACACTGCCTGAATACAAATTTCAAGCTTGCTATGTATATCTATTAAACTATTATGCCATCCAGCCCATATTTAACTATCTTGCTGATCATTAACTCCTTTCTGACAATCCAGATATACTATGTCTACAGTATTCTTATAATTTCTTAAGGTTAATTAAAAAACAATACATGTCGATATTGCAAAACCTGTCCTTGACAAATCCATGTTTTTATGGTGCTTGCATATCCATTTTTTATGATCTGCTCTAAAATCTTTCTAAATATTGATGTGGCTTGACTGGTTTGTAGTTTACTGCCACTTCTTTTTTTCTCTTTTTGAACATTGGGCTGATATTTGTTCTACTCCAGTCGTCTGTCACTCCATCAGTTTTCTAAGATTTCTCAAAAGGTTTAATTCAGACCATGATTTCATTCTTTCCCTGTTCTAGGATGCAGTTTATTTTCCCCTGGAGATCATGTTTCTGTCAGACATGAACATCAGTGCTGCCACTCTATTTTTCTCAGTGGAATACATTTTTGCTAGGGTGGCAGTGTGTGGGGGGAACTGGGGTCGAAGAAGACTGAACCAAAATAAAATTAAAATAGTTCTTCCATTTCTTTGTTATCTCTCAGCTGTTATCTTCCCTGAATAATTTGAAATAGTAAATCTTTTCTTTTTATTTAGAATATATCTAAATACACCTTGTAAAATTACGGTATTCCTTTCATTCTTCACTAATGTCAGGAAATTCTGAGTTTTTAACTTTCATGAAACCAGCTCTGCAGTCTCATATTACCTACTTTCTATCCTTCCTTCGTGATTTGTTCCCCTTTCCATTTCCTATTATGTATTCTTTTTTTCAGGCCCTCGCTAGTTGTTTTGTGCAGCCACATTCATTAAAATCATTTGCTATATTTGCAGTTAATATCCCCTTCTTTAGGAATTTGCACCCACCCTGAGTTCTTTTTCCCATTAGCTTCTGCTGATCTGGAATGCTACTTAACTTGGTTCTGCATTTATTAAAACAGTTTGTTAAGTCCAGGATACATATTTTGTCTCTTCTCAATTTTTGTTTCTTCTAGACTCAAGCATTAAAGCATCAGGGTCACTCTTCCAATATCGTGCTTCTTCCTTTTTCTCAGCTAAGGGTTTTTTGTTTGCCAGCATCAAATCAAGACTAGCTCATGCATTCCTCCAAGTTTTGAAGGAGAAAGTACATCAGGAATTTCTGAAAGGACTATGTTTGCCAAAAATGTGTCTCCAAACATATGCCAGTATAAGTTGAGTTGATAAGTTAGTTCAGCAGCAAAAGTAGTTCAAACAATATGAAGAATTATTATTTTATGAAGTGGAAAAGAGAATTTATATTGCATTTTGGGCAGTTTGTGGCTTCCTCTTTGGGGGAGGAAGGTCTAAAAAATCATATTACTGAGCTTTGGTGACACCTGTTCAAGAAAAAGCATGCAATTTCCCATTTTTTCCAGTGAGAAAATTACAGAAAAGTCAGTCTTCATTTAGATCTAATCACACTCAAAAATCACTTTTCAATCTGGCTTCTTTCAACAAAACAATGGGGGGAAAACAATGGAAGTCTCAGCCATATCAACTCAATAGAAATAAAAATATGAGCCTTGGCTATCAAAAGCTCATCTGTCTCTCCAATATCATGATATATTGGTAATCTTTTCTTTGATATTCATTGGTGTAAGATATGAGCTATTGATCAATGTGGATCCTCCAAGTTTTATATTAAGGGAGATATAAAATAATTTGTGGACAACATGTGGAAATGTTTTCCTTTTTTATTTCCAGATATTGAATGAATTATGTTATCATTGATTTTGAGAGCATAACAGATGCTATAATAAAGATGGCTCTTTATTTTGTATGATTCATTAATTATGACTTCCACTTTTGTTACACAAGTAATTTCTTTTCTTTTGCAGATATTGGGGAAACTTATTTTGACAAAAGTTGAATAAGCTCTCCATGGTTCCTAGAAGTCTTTGGAAACAATTTAAACTTTTTTAAAAAACACATCTTAATACTGTAATTTTAAACCGTGGTATGCTTTTTAGTTGTGGCAAATGAAAGTCTATATTTTTAACAATGGCACATTTTTAAAGAAGTTCACCTGTATTCCTTATTAAAAAAATATGGCTTTTACCTCGGATTCAACCTGATTAAATAAAATTTAATAATGAATCATACAACTTTTATTAAGTCTATTACATTTACACGTGAGTTAACAACTAAACAAAAACATAGCTGTTACATAGGCATTGCAACAGGCACTACCATGGAATATATACCCATGAATTGCATCTTGCCATGTTAGGATAAAATCTAAAGTTAATCCTCATTTGAATCCATGCACTGAAATAAGCAGAGTTAAATCCCATCATTTTTAATAGGTTTGATCACATAGATCCAAAACTGGATTTCTCACAAAGAAAGTAAACTACAGGTTTTAAATACATTTTTGTTTAAAAAATATTTTGTTCTGTTTAAAATCTGGTGGGTTAGTGAAAGCACATTTTCTGATCAAAGACTTTAATTTTAAATTCACTAATTAATCACTTATACTTTCCTATTTAGTTTATGCTACATACTAATTTCTATTTTTAAAAGAAATAGTTTAACCAAACCAATTTGACCATTTTAATGCTTAATTTTGGTAGTGTTATATGAGCTATGCAGAGAGGACACCACCTCTCTTTGCTACTTACAAAAATCTCTTGTATATTTCTTCATCCTACCTGAGATTTTTCCTATTTATTCATTATTTAGATTTGCATAGCCAGCACTTTAAAAGATAGCCTCAAGATCTAGAAGGGACTATCCAACAAAATGCAATTCAGTGGTGGGAAAAGTAAGGTTTTACATACTTAGACAAGAAAAACAAATGCCCAGATATAGAATGGGAGGTACCTGGCTCAACAGCAGTAACTGTGAGAGGAAACTAGGAGTCAACCACTTAAATAATCAGCAGTGTCCTACAGCTGCCAAAAAAAGCCAATGCAGTCCTAGGCTGCATCAATAGGGGGATAGTATCAAGATCATGTGAAGTCTTAGTACCACTTTTATATTGCTTTGGTAAGACCAGACTTGGAATACTGCATCCAGAAGTTGAAGCTCTAGAAAGAGTGCAGAGAAGAGCAACAAAGTTTATTAGGGAGCTGGAAGTTAAAAGTATACGATGCATGGTTATAGGAACTGGGTATGTCTAGTCTAACAAAGAGAAAGATTATAAGTGACATGATAGCAATCTTCCAATATTTGATGGGTTATCACAGAGAAGAAGGGTCAACCAATTCTCCAAAGCACCTGAGGGCAGGACAAGAAGTAACAGATGGAAGCTTATCAAAGAGAAATCCAACCTAGAATTAAGGAGAAACAATGAATCATTGGAATGGCTTGCCTCCAGAAGCTGTGAGTGTTCCATCACTGGAGGTTTTAAAGAAGGAATTGGACAACCATTGTCTGGAATCGTATAGAGTCTTCTGCTTGAATAGGAAGTTGGACTAGAAGATCTTCAGGGTCCCTTCCTCCCTCTTATTCTGTTAACTTGATCGTGATTATAAGCAATGTACGAAATAACAATAAAGCACAATACATAAAACCCAAACTAAAAAGCAGGGGGAACAGCATATGGCATAGCTAATACAGAAAGTACACTCCAGGTGTATATATCCTGACTCATCCCAGAACTTAGGGAAATACACAGGTTTTCAAGGATTGTTTAAAGAACTGCAGTATCAGAACAGTTTTAAGTGATATGGGGGATGCTATTCCAGGGGGCAGGCACAGAAGGATATGATCAGACATCAGATGATGGTGCCAAATGGATGGAACCCAAAGCATGTTAACTCTGCTGGATCTTACAAGATAGCAGAAATGATGGGAGAGGGGCAGATTAATACTTTGGATAAAGAAGTCTACACCTGGCCTGTCCAGTTACATAGATTCTGATGGTGGGTCTGGAAAATTCTTGCTTATAAGGCCCTCTAGGATTTTTGGCCTTCTACATATGTTCAGGAAGAGGTTTGATCATGCCCAGCCGTAATAATAATAGCTAACTATGGTGGGAGCTGTAAGCCCACAGAAATAGTTGGCTGGGTATAGTACACGTTTTGAACCTCTTGCTGACCCTCTTGCTATTTTTGTTCACTTATTATAGACAACTTTGGACAGGTCTGATTTAAAAAACAATCTGATGTCAGTCCAAAAACTTTGCATTTGATGCAGTGTTGGCACTGTTTATGTTTATGGGGAGATGGTAACATTCTCAAAAGACTTAGAAGATGGGGGGATTCCTCTGGATGGTGTTTGAATAGCCCCAAAGAAATTGTTCTGAACGAGGCTCCCCAGGAGCATGAAGCAACCTCCTTGTCCCGACAAAAAACCCCTTTTATTAATTTACTGTGAATTCTGCTCATTCACATCAAGCAAAGTCTTTCAAAGGAGGATTTATAGTTACAGACCTTATCTGGCTGGGAGAGCTGACAGGTCAATATCTACAGAACTTGGCAGGGAGTCTTGGAGAATCACAACCTGTGAACTAATGGTCTCCTGCAAACTCTACTCCCCTTTCGCTCCTCTTATTTCCTCTGGAAGGGGCCATTCCTCATCTGGCCTTACTCCCAAGTCGACCCCTGTTCTTTAGTTGTTCCCTTCGTCTGGCAACTCTGCACATGCGCACACTAGGAACAAGCTCAGCTTCTCGTCTGCCTCACTGATGTCTGACTCTGAAAATAGCTGATAACTGGCATAAGGCTCTGGCCCCATCTCTCCCCCTCTCTGACACAGAGCCCTCCAGGATTGGCCCATGTTCCTCCCCAATCTCTTCACTGTCCAAATCTGCCAGCTCCACTGGCTACTGGTGGGCCACAACATAATTTTGATTTTTATTTTATTCTGTTTTTTGCATTTATTTTTCTAAATGAAATACAATAGCAAAATATTCCCTAGTACTATGGAGATTCTCAGTCATCCGGGGGTCACGGTTGTCCCAAAAGTGCTTTTTTCAAAGGCAACTGGACTTTCTGGTTTTTCTTTGAAGACGTTTTGCTTCTCATCCAAGAAGCTTCTTCAGCTATGAATGGATGGTGGGGAATGGAAGGATACTCCTACATAAACCAGTACATCAATACTGGTTGTCAACAGTTTCATTTGCACTATCATAGATCAATATTCTGACTTTGTGTCCATTCTGTGGACACTCCTGAAAGGAGGCCAACCTTTGTTGCCTTAGCTTCAATGAGCAGATTCCTTAAAAGAACAGCAACATTTGGAGTATTGTTCTTCCAAGCTTGTGCAGAATCCTGAAGAAAGTAGGCTTTTTTTTAACAAATAGGAGAAGACTGCTAGGCTATGCAAGATCCAAACCAATTCTTCTGAATCATTTTTGAAATATGGATAGCCCTACCCATATGCCCATGTACATACAAATTACTTTCGAATGTCTAAATTAAAAAATATATTTGCTGCCAGATTTGTAATTAAGAGAAATAAACTGGTGTCCTTGAAAAGCTCTTGAGCACACTTGTGATTAATGTAGAGGAATTTGGTGAGTTTCATTACTTTTCTGGGCAGAGCTTCCGGGTATTTGAGGGGGGAGGATGATAAGGGGGGAGATTTTATCTGCAATGCACCACAATGGCTGGATTAAAAGTGAAATCCTTTGTTTTGAAGAGGTTTTGATGAAAAGGAAGGCAAAAGAGCCAAATATGCCATGTTTTGATGCCTATTTGGATTCATATTTATTGCACCACTCATCCTTTAAAGAGATTGTTAATGATATCTTGCACTCTCTCTTTTTCTAAACCAGGGGTGTCCAAACTTGGGAACTTTAAGACTTGTGGACTTCAACTCCCAGAATTCTAAACTGTTCAAAACTCATTTCTATATAGCTTAGCCTCTCTTTCCCTAACTTGGTGCTTCCTGGGTATGTCTAACAAGTACCCCAAGGCCTAGGTAGACAGATAAGGCTAAGACCATTTTGCATAATTTGAGTTCTTGGCATCACCAATTTAAAAGTCTAAATAATGCATTATAGAAAAGCATTTTTGAATGGTTTCCCAGAGAATTGTGGCTTGACACAGCAAACAGTCGTGATTAGATAAATACGCAAATGAGGTTTAAGATAGTTTTATACAGTACTTAACTCAGTACTGAAACATTCTTCCTTCACTTTTGTCCTTCCATCTTTTGACACAATGTTTTGATAATTTGATCTAGCATCTGATTTTAGGTAGAAAGCTTCCTTTTTTTCTTTGATAGTTTGCAAAGTACTATTTGTTGCATATTATCTCACTTCCCCATGGTGTCTTAAACAGCCATATGGATTAGTAGCCACACAGTTGCTTATTGAATGGCAGCCATATAACTATTTTAAGAAGCAGATCTGTGAATCTTTTTGCAGGCTACGCATTACAGCTGTACATGAATTTGGAGGGCTTGTATCCTAAACAACCCTGGAAGAACCAAGACTGGCTGCAGCTTCATGTTCAGTTTGCGGGCAAGCTTTTTTTTTTTTTTAATAATAATAATACAAACTAATGCCGTGAAAGCAAAGATACAAAAATCCACTGACAATCCAAATTGCCGACTTTGCAACAACAAAGTTGAAACTGTTTTTGTTTTTTTGAAAAAAAAAAGAAAAAAATGAAAGAAAAGAAAAAATGAAATAAAGAAAAAGAGAAAAAAAATTGAAACACTTGAGCAGCAAAATTGCACAAACTGAGTACAAAGCTAGACATGATCGAGTTGCTAAATTAATCCACTGGTCATTATGTAAAAAATATGACTTACCTGTATCCAAAAAGTCATGGGAGCACAAAGTGGAAAACGTTACCAAAAATGAGAAGGTGAAGATCTTGTGGGACTTTCGCATACAGACGGATTGTCATTTGGAACACAACATGCCAGATATCGTGTAGATAGAGGGCCGAAATGTACAATTTATTGACATCACGGTACCAGGTCAGAGTCAAAGAAGGTCAGAGTCAAAGAAAAAGAACTGGAAAAAATCACAAAATATTGCGACCTGGCCATCGAAACTACCCAGTTATGGATGAAACATGTAACAGTGATACCCATTGTCACCGGGACACTTGGTACCATGTCCAAGAATTTCATAAGATACATCAACAAATTGCAGCTTCCTGCAATAACACCAGCGGAACTGCAAAAAAACTGTGCTACTCGG